AAGAAATGTGCAGAGGAGGTAAATCCAGAGAGACAGATAGCAGATTTGTGGAGTTCAGGCAGTGGGGATGAGGGAAATGGAAGGTAACTGTGTCGTGGTTGGGGTTTCATTTGACAGGAGACAAAGGTGGTGGTTGTGTCACTGAGTCATTCACTTTTATGTGGTTGAATTTATATCCGTGAATTTCGCCCCAGTTGGAAAAAAAGAAAAAAAAAAAAGGAAAGTTGAAGAAAAAGAACAAGGGACTAAAAAATCAATATAGGAAACCAACAGCAGAAAACAGTGAAGAAAACAAAAGTAGAAATAAATAAGAGAAAAAAGGACATTGGCAGAAGAATAAAGGGAACTTGTTTCATCTGGTCCCTTGAATTTAGCTGGTTAACTGTCAAACCCTTCTGAAATCAGGCTGAGATGTAAGAAAATATATCTGGAAATCTAGAAGTAGAAAAGTCACTGCTTTTTCAAGGTAGGAGGTGCAGAACCTTGAATCTTCAGGGAGATATTGACAGAAAAATGAAGTGGAGAGGGAGCTTCCATAAGCTTGTTACTAGAAAGGGACATTACACCAGAGCCCAAAATTAGAACCCTTAGAAATCTGGTCCAGTCAGAGATCTCTGTGCCTGAAAGGGGCTCAGGGGTTGAAAAGGGAGAATTCTAGTTGGGTCAGTGTATTCTCAGGATCTCAGTAAACACAAAATAAACTGGGGTGCCTGAACCAATAGAGTGTCCAAGCAGCGGAGTGGGGAAGCTGGTTATGGTCAGTGAGGGACAAAGAGGTCAAGGAGGGAACTCTCCACTCAGGTTGCCATGAACTGAGAACTGCCCTGGTAGGGAGACCCTTCCATGCCTGAACAGCCTGAAAAGGACTGGAACATGGGGCTGTTTACCATCCCCTGGAAGGGCTGAAGTGGCTGCACCCACAACCGGGCACCATCTCATAGTGTGGTGGCAGCCGCAGAGAGGATAGTAAGGCAGCACCCAGCCATGGCTCAGGAACAGGGGAGCAGAGTATGGTACAAGTGCTTGTGGTCCCAGGGCACACAAAGGACAGTGATGGTTGTGGGTCCCTTGGACTCCCCCTGGGAGGATTACTCTGTGCACACAGTTGGAGAATTTTCACTTTGGCACATACAAAAGTGAAAACTGTTTGTTCTGGAGCACTTAATGAAGAGCGGGGGACCATGATCATTCCATTCTGGGCCAAAAGGCTGGGAATACCATTTTTATTCTGATCCTCTAAAGAGGTGAGGAAAGCCTCCAGGGAGAAAAAGCCACACAGAGTACAAGCCTACACTGAGCTCAGAACCAGGGCAAAGGGCTGTGCAACTCCGCGGAGGCAAAGACACCTGAGAAGCAGCACAGCAGGCCCCTAGCCCAGAAAAAAGACTGAAGGAAGAGGTGGACAATAATATATGGATCCCACAAGAGTGTAAATCTCCAGCACCAGGGGAGAATAGTATATTCAGCTCCAGGTGTTTTCTCATGATTCTTTTCTCTTTCAGTGTAATGTTTTCCATTTCTTTTCTTTTTCTTTACCTCTTTTTCCATTTCAACTAGATTCTTTTTTAAATTTTATTTTATTTTTCAGTGTTCCAAGATTCATTGTTTATGCACCGCACCCAAGGTTCCATGTGATATGTGCCCTCCTTAGTATCTACCACCAGGCTCACCCTACCTTCCAACCCCCCTCCCCTCCAAGACACTCAGTTTGTTTATCAAAGTCCACAGTCTCTTATGGTTTGTCTACCCCTCCAATTTCCCCCAATTCACTTTTCCTAGATTCTTTTCTGAATAAAAGATTCTATCTATCATCTATCATCTATCTATCATCTATCTATCTATATCTGTCAGGGTGAGAGCACAAGCAGAGGGAGAGGCCAGTGGAGGGAGAGAAATTCTCCTGATGGAGCAAGAAGCCCAATGGAGGAGTATATCCAAGGACCATGGGATCATTACCAGAGTTGAAGGCTGAAGCTTAAGTGACTGGGCCACCCAGGTGTCCTGGTTTCAGCTAGATTTTTGTTTACCTAGCTATGTTTTCAAGTTGCTTTTTCGCTTTTATTTTTTACATCTACATTTTATAGATATATGCTTTGTTTTTTCACCCTATTCAATTTATTTTCTCCCTTTATGTTTTGTGTTCTTTGACATTTTTGGAGGCAGTGTCTTCTAACACCAGACCAAAATTCAATCAGGAATAAGTGGATCACACCACTTTGTCCACCCTGTGAGATCATATTCTCCCTCCCCTTTCTCCCATTTTTTTGTTTAGCTTGATTTGATTGGGTTGGTTTGCTTTTCTGTTGTGGTATCCAACTGCTTTGGATTTGTCTTGGGTGTATTTCTCTTGGGTTGTGGTTGATATTTTGGACTCTGCTCACTGCTCACTGCTCATCTACCTTCCTTTAGGAAAAATGACTAGAAGGAGGAATTCATAACAAAAGAAAGAACCAGAGACAATATTCTCTGCCACAGTGCTAATCCATATGGATATAAGTAAGATGTCAGAGATGGGATTCAGGAAAGCAATTATAAAGTTAACAGCTAGGCTTGAAAAAAACACAAATGACAATACAGAATCTCTAAAGTCAGAAGTGAAATCTAATCAGGCTGAACTAAAAAATTCTATGAATGAGATGCAGTCTAAACTGGATGCTCTAAAAGCCAGGGTAAATGGGACAGAAGAGAGGAGAAATGATCCAGAGAACAGGCTGATGGAAGGGAAGGAAATTGAGGAAAAGAGAGAAAGACAATAATCCATGAAGAAAGGTTTCAAAAGAACCTTTCTTTTGAAAAAAATTTTGAAATATTCTTTTCAAAAAATAATTTAATGATACATTGAAAAGAACCAATGTCAACATCATTGGGATCCAAGAGTGGGTAGAGAGGGAGAGGAGACTGTAATGTGTATTTGAGCATAACAAGCTGTTGCTAGAACTTCCCTAATCCGGGGAAAGAAACAAGCATATATGTCCAAGAGGCAGAGGGGATACATCCAAAATCAATAAAAATAGATCAACACCCTGACAAAAATAGTGAAGCTTACAAAAAAAAAATAGTGAAGCTTACAAATTGTAGAGCCAAGAAAGCTCTCCTGAGAGCAGTTAGGGAGAGGAGATTCCTTATGTATGGAGAGAAGAACATTAGAACATCACACCTATCCACAGAAACATGGCAGGCCAGAAATAGGTGGCAAGGTATATTCAGGGTACTAAATAAGAAGAAAATGCAGCCATATAAAGAATACTTTATCCAGCAAGGCTGTCATTGAGAATGGAAGGAGAGATAAAGAGCTTCCAAGACAGACAGAAACTGAAAGAGTATGTGACCACCAAGTCAGCCCTGCAAGAAACATTAAGGGGGATTCTGTAAGTGAAGAGAAACCCCAAGAGTAATGAAAATAGACCGAAAGTAATGGACAATCTACAGAAACAGGGAAATTACAGGCAATACAAGGGCACTAAATTCATATCTTTCAATAATTACTCAGAATGTAAATGAGCTGAATGTTCCAGTAAAGAGACACAGAGTATCAGATTGGATAAAAATGCAAGGCCCACGCAGTTTGAAACTAAAGACAACTCCAGACTGAAAGTGCAGGAATGGAGAACAGTTTACCATGCTAATGGACCTTAAATGAGAGCTGCAAAGCAATCCTTATATCAGACACATTAATTTTTTTCTTTTTTATTATGTTAAATTAGCCAACATATAATAAATCCTTAGTTTTTGATGTAGTGTTCAATGATTCATCAGACAAATTAGATTTTAAGCCAAAAACTGTAGTAAGAGATATAGAGGGACACTATATCATTCTTAAAGGGTATATCCAACAAAAAGATCTAACAATTGTAAATATATATGCCCTCAAGGAGGAGCAGCCAATTAGATAAGCCAATCAATATACAAAGTAAAGAGACATTGTATTAATAATACTTTAATAAGAGGAGACGTCAACACTCCACTCACATCAATGGACAGATCATCCCAGCAGAAAATAACTAAGGAACAATAACAATAACAAGCTTTGAATGACACATTGGACCAGATCTACTTCACAGAGATATACAGCACATTCCATCCTAAAACAACAGAATACTCATTCTTTTTGAATACACATGGAAATTTCTCCATAATGGATCACACACTGGGTCACACATCAGTTTTCAATAGTACCAAAAGTTTGAGATTATTCCATGTGTGTTTTCAGAACACAATGCTTTGAAACTGAAACTCAATCACAAGAATAAATTTAGTAGGAGCTGAAGCAGCTAGAGGTTAAAGAGCATCCTGCTAAAGAACAAATGGGTCAAAAAAGAAATTAAAGAACTTAAAAATATCATTGATTTGAGTTTCCCTGATGGCTAATGATGATGAACATTTTTTCATGTGTCTGTTAGACATTTGTATGTCTTCTTTGCAGAAGTGTCTGTTCATGTCTTCTGCCCATTTTTTGATGTGATTATCTGCTTTTTGGGTGTTGAGTTTGAGGAGTTCTGTATAGATCTTGGATATCAGCCCTTTGTCTGTAGTGTCACTTCTGAATATCTTCTCCCATTCCGTGGGTTGCCTCTTTGTTTTGCTGATTGTTTCCTTTGCTGTGCAGAAGCTTTTGATCTTGATGAAGTCCCAAACATTCATTTTTGTTTTTGTTTCCTTTGCCTTTGGAGACATACCTTGAAAGAAGTTGCTGTGGCTGATATCAAAGAGGTTACTGCTTATGTTCTCCTCTAGGATTCTGATGGATTCCTGTTTCACGTTGAGGTCTTTTATCCATTTTGAGTTTATTTTTGTGTATGGTATAAGAGAATATTCGAGTTTCATTCTTCTACATATAGCTGTCCAATTTCCCCAGCACCATTTATTGAAGAGACTGTCTTTTTTCCACTGGATATATTTTCCTGCTTTGTTGAAGATGATTTGACCATAGAGTTGAGGGTCCATATCTGGGCTCTCTATTCTTTCCATTGG